ATATATATATTTTTGTATTGTCTACTTTGTTTATGGGGTTGATGACATATAAATAAAGTTATGAATACGTGTCAAGTGTCTAAAGATTAACAATAACTCCACCCCTTCCCACCCCGCCTGCTCATTTTTCCAAACACACTGAAAGGCTTGAAACATGAAAGACGGCGTAGTATTGATAAACAAAAATCGCGTTCGTTTTCCTGATAGAGGAAATACATAAAAATTAAGTATTCAATTAGCCTACTTATCTTCATCTAAGGCTTTGATTTCTTGAATTAATTAAAAATTATATCTACAATACAGCTTGGCAATATGAATTGAAATAAATGCGGCATTTATTTTATCTTATATCAAATAGTACATGAGTCTAAATTAGATGCAGAACTATATAGCGTTATGGTGTTATATTTAAGTCTCTGACCATAGCTTTATGGCCAAAGGCTAAAATATACTCCTATTAAACCTTATATAATACTACAGTTCGATTCAGCAGTCAAGTCTCACTGCACAAGTGTACTCTTTATAAATGTACAAGATATACCCTTAAATTATTGTGCAGGGTAGATACGACTCATAATATTTCATATCTAATTATAATCAAATGCAACATTCTCTATCAGCAATGATTTGATGAAATGAAATTAGTTGACCTACTTGTTCCGCAAGTCAACGATAAGACCATATAATATTCCATATATGCGTATTTACTATTTTGTTAAATTAAAAAATTAAGATTATATATATATTTTTCAAAATGTAATCCAAATTTTAATTTTATTTCGTTTTAATACATAAAACATGTTTTCTTGCATTATCATTTTAGCAAATGATGCATTTGTTATAAATATATTCAACGATTTCTTGATAGTAAAAACGTAACAAAGGGAAGTAATCAAAAGTTGAACCCGCATTTGATTGGTTAGTTTGGATCTTGAATTTCGAAACTCGAATTTTGAATCTCGAATTTCGAATCTCGTATTTCGAATCTTGAATCTCGAATGAGCCTTCTGGGCTTTCGTACTTCGCGGCTCTAGAGCAGACGCTCTAACCACTGCGATGGCTTTAAGATAAAGACGGTTGAACTTTGGTTTCTCAAATGTCAATTTATCCGAGGTGTGAGACACATTTTCTTTCATGAATTTATTAACTAATTTCTTGAACCCTCAGAGTTCTTTAATCTTGGTCCCGAAGAGTTCAATATCAAGGTGGTTGGTTTAAAGTGGTTATGTTCTGTTTTTCAAGCTGGAGGAAATCCCCTTGATTGTGACGTCCCTGTCCACTGCAATGAGAACTTGGGAGGATGTTCTTAATAATTACCCCATATTTGAACAACAGGAAGCAACAAAGGAAAAATGAAGACATTTTTTTTCTTTTTAGCTCATTATGTTAATCTGTCTTTTAAATTATTTTCTCTGTTCATAGCCATCAATACCATGGCAAAACAGACTTTTCTGTCAGTATTAGAACAAAAGCTACAGACCATAAAAAAGACCATAAAAAAGCTTTCAATTATTGCCTGGATTACCCCTAAGTACATTTGTGTCATGATGATAATATTATGTGGTTTAGCCAGTGCATGACTACATATAAAATCATTGATCATTTTGAAAATTTAAAGGTCTTTATTAGGGCTGCTATTTGAATTTTCAAGGTCACTAAATTTTTTTCAAGACATAAAAGTAGTTTTGTATACTCACTTGGGAATGTACTGTAAAGGTTAATTATTCAATTAACCTTTTATCTCTAAATATCAATAAAAGGTTCTTAATTTATAAAAAAAAAAAATGAATCAGTAATAAAATTAATAAAAATGACTTTATTTGTTGTTTTTATTGAAACTTTTATCTTTACATTAATTTTCTTTAGGAATATAACATTAAGGGAAGATGATAAAAAAAAAATCTACGTAAACTGAATATACATTACAAAAAAAAAAATCATTAACAATTTTATCAAGTATTGTATATATATGTATAAAGGATTTTATGATGAAAAGTTTCTGTCTTTCTTACATACTGACCTTTACCATAAAGCCACAAGAAGTTAAGTATGCTGTCAGGGTTGTCCCGTAAACCCAAGGGCCAGGGATTTCCTCGCCTATAATGATGTATTCCCCGAGTTATTTTGGTATTCCCCCTAAACTCCCCATAAAAAGAGAAACCCCAAGACCCCGTCCTACTTTTTATATGTCCCTTTCTATTTAAATTCTTGAGGACAAACCTGACTGTATTTGACATAAATTCCTCACCGCCTTCGAGGAGATTAACATAAAATTGCTTTACATTACATGTTACATACATGTAGACACCAACAGGTTTCATTGTATAAATCAGATAAAAGATCCAAGCACAAACTTATGTAATTTAAGGACGTTCGATCCTGAGCTTTTGAGCGTATTTGGGTCAGGTCCTTTATTTATAAAATTTTGCATCATTTTTAAGTTCTAACATTAAATCTGAATTCTAATGTGCAAATTTAACTATATCCAATGAAAAAACCACAATTAAATTCCATTCAAGGAGTAGAGTTTTAAACGAATTTCACAGAAAATTCTACTTTTAGTAACAATGGTAACACTGTTCATCGAAATCAAAAACTAATGCACTATTTTATGTATCTTAGTGTAGTTTACTTGTGTGCCAAGTTATATTGAAATCAGACCAAAACTGTAGAAGGAGTAGAGATTTAAAGGAATTTCTCAGAAAATTCTATTTTTAGTAGCCATGGCAACACCATTTGTCAAAACCAATGCACCATTTTATGTATCTTAGTGTAGTTTACTTGTGTGTCAAGTAATATTGAAATCAGACCAAAACTGTAGAAGGAGTAGCGTTTTAAAGGAATTTCACAGAAAATTCTATTTTTAGTAACCATCGCAAAACAGTTCACTAAAATTGAAAACTGATGCACTATTTTATGTATCTTAGTGTAGTTTACTTGTGTGCCAAGATATATTAGCATTAAGCTTGGGACTATATTTTGTGGCGGAAGGTTTTTTAGACGAAAATGATCAGTTTTTCCATTTTGAACTATAACAGTACTGTAAATTTTGGATTCCTTTTTTTTCCATCCTGGTTGCACACAAAGCTGTTTTTTTGCAGTGAAATGTGTTATGCTGGTTTTGAAATATCTATTAAATTATTTCTTATGAATTCTGTCAACAAAGTTTGACAAATATAGTCAATATATTCTGAAATCCGGGAAAAAAATGAGCCGATTTTAACGTAAAATTGACACTTTTTTTAGTAATATCTGAGAATTTACATCATATACCCCCACTTTTGATGTTCTTTTCTAAATATTCAAGATAAATTTGACCTATTTGCTTAAAATCAGAAAAAGTTTAAGACTTTAAAATAATTTTCTTGCTTATTAAATTTTCAATGCCAGAAAAATCACTTTTTATTAGTGCAGAAAGGTCAAATAATTGATTGTGCGAAGCAATTTGAAATTTTTTCTTAGTCACAATTTTTAAGTATCTCTTTTTAAACAAACTTAGAGTTCATTTTGTTTCATGCTTTAATTGGATAAAAATGTTGGAGGGAAAACGTCAAAAATTTGATTTTTAATTAAGACACAAATTTCAGTGCAAGAAGGTCATATTAAATGTACTGTAGCGCCAAAAGAAGCCTATTGACCCCCATTTTTTGATTTGAATTTTAATTAAGCTATGTATGTAGAAACTAAAAATATACTTGGCAAAAAAAGTTTAGGACTTTAAATATCAGGATCGAACGTCGTTAAAAGGCTGGAAAAATATCTTAGTTTAACGACCATTATAATGCTTTTAAAAAGTACATCAGTCTGACTACAGCAGTGACGTATCGTCCATTAAGGCAAAAAGGCAAATGCCTACACATAATTTTGGAATGTTTTTTTAGAAAATAAATTTAATGTAATAAATTAATTTGTTAATCATTAAAAAACATCAAAAAATAAAATTCAGTATATATATATGTTTTATAGCTGTAAATTACAGTGTTGTTTCGTTTAGTGGCATTTGCAGTCAAACTGAGTACCCCATACAAGGATGCCTTAAAACTTTCCTGCAATCTTCTTTGACAAATTAAGAAAAAGTCGAGTTTATCACAACAAAGTGGAAACCTTTTGATGATTTAATCCCAACCAAGTTACCGTAATCAGTGGTAGTGTAATGTATTATCGTTCAAATTAAACCGAAATTTAGTATCATGCAGTTTCAATCCCTTAAACCGTTCTTTCATATTAATTCGTTTCTCCAGCAGCGTTCCTGATATTTTAAATAATTAAAAACTTAAAAAAATGTTTTACACAGGTACATGCATAGGAAGAGGGAGGGGCTTCGACGTAATCGACTAAAACCGAATCTCTCTCTCTCTCTCTCTCTCTCTCTCTCTCTCACAGTAAAATTGATCTGTTTCCACAAAACAATGACAACATATTATTTGAAAACCAAGTTTGGAAAATTTTAATTGAAATTTTTAACAAATAATATAAATGCCTATATGAATCATCGTGTCCAAATATTCAAATCACGCGGAGGGGGTGTCCTAAAATAGTAGTCTACTTAATATATTGTTTCAACTTCAATAAAGATTTACTAGTATGTACATTGAGATGACATATATCTTGGGAATCTATAAGAGTTTGCGTTAAAAAAAAACAAGATCTGACTGTTTAATGGGCGAAATTCCCAAAATGCCCAAATAAAAAACTATAACAAGCATACGTATTTTGTTTAAATTAACAATTTTCTTCTTTCAAAAGTGCTAATTTTTGCGTCTATTTTGCAAAATTTTCTAGGGGGAGGTCCCCCAAACCCCCCTAGCAGGAGGGGATGATCCCCTCCCGCACCTACCACCTTTCGGCACTTCGCGTCTCATATTAAGAAGCCCTCGGCTTCATTACTTTGTGCCTATACGTATATTTGATGTACGCTACGCCACTGTACAGGAAAATGTATATAAAACTTAGTTATTAGCCAGATATTAAATGTAACTACAAAATAAAAAAAAACACTGTTACAAGTTGTATTCTTTATTTTCAATTATTTATATGTCAAAAAAATGCTCCCAACCTATCTGATATACAATTCTAACGGGTCCCTTATTTTCATGGAACCTTATCCCTACTCCTTTTCCCACTAATGCCTCGGAATAAGAATTTGGAGTTAAGATTATTTTCATCCTTTTCTGGTTAGTCAAAGATCTTTTTATGCAACTTTTCGACTCCCCCCCCCCCTTAAAATTGCCAAATCCCCTCCCCCAAACATTTTCAAAATGTATGCCCGACATTATTTTACTTCATTGCTCCAAAATTATATTTACAATGTCTTTATTCCCCCGCCCTTCGTGCATATAAATAAAGTATTATGCTCCTCGGGCCTCTTAATCATCGATCTCAAAACAGCAAGTTTTGTATAAATTTTATAATTATATGCATGGTTACATGCACATTGCGTCATAAATATAAGCACCTAACGGCTTAACGAATTAAGAAATTAATCGATATGGAAGACATATTTAAAATATCTACAATTAAAATTTTTCTTGTATTTTACGTAGTTCTTGAGTAACAAGTGATTTTTCATTGTCTGAAACAAAGCGTAGAATATTATCTTCCGGAATAAAATAATTTCTGATTTCTCCATTACTAAAACATTTCATAAGTTCTTTAACACTCTGCTTGAACAAACTTTCCTTCTTTTCTTGGCAGAAGTCTTTATGTCTGTCATAAAATTCAAGCATAAACATTTTTAAATGATACGAACAAAATTTATCCGTTTGATGGGGATTTTGAACCTTGATAATTTGTTTTATTTTTTTCAGGAGTTTTAAAATGTCCTTTCGGCACCCCTTGTCCCTTTGGTTAGCATGAAGAATAAGTTCTTTCTCCGCGTGAGAAAATGAGATCCTCCACAGAATGTCTGCATCCGGATGATCTACATAAAAATACATAATCTGCTAAATAATTACATGTATTTTGCTAAGATGTCAGTAACTTTAATGGAATATATGGAGGTAACGAACAGTATTCAAGCTGAAAGTCCATTAAACAATACAAAATAGGAGCAGAGCAAACACGGACCTCCGAAACATCAGCAGAGATGGGATCAGGTGCCATGGAGGAGTGCATGTACCTTTCATGCAGGTGTCATGGATCTTTTTTAGTTTTATTCATCAAACTACGTATAATATTTGTTCCCAATAACTTTGAATGTTCGATGTATATTTTTAATTTTTATTGTAACTCATATAGCAAATGCAATTACCACTGCGCGACGTGGGGAACTACCAATCTTTAATCTAAAAATAAATTATGATTTTTTTTATGCATGCATGTATTTCATTCAGAATGTTCCTCTTTACATAGTTAACTATGATTTTTATAGGATTAAAGATATAAAAAATATGTGTACGTACGAATAGCTGTCGCTTATCTTACCTGCTGGGTAGGTCTTTGTGACCACATGAAAACATTTCATTGCTTTTTGAACATTATCAGTTCCTATCCATTCTGGACATATCTTCCTCCCAGTGGAAGGCCAGGAGTCTATTTTTATAGCAGGCACCAAGTCAATATCTACTGTTGGTATTCCTGAGCCCAGGTCAAATTGGAGTGTGAAAGCCGGACTCTCTGGTTTACGTGGCATTCCTAAAAAAAGCAGTTGTCCTAGGTCTATCACATCCTTTTAAAGTTTGCAGTCCCCCGCAAGTAGATGGTGGCATTTCAATTTGATTAAAAATTCTCGAAAAAAAAACCTTAGGCAAACAAACAAACAAACAAACAGACAAACAAATTATAATAGCCAGTAGACACCTACTTTTTATTCTTCTTCCTTGTCTAAAACCAGGACTTGTTATACAATCCTCAAAAATGCTGAACATTTTTTGTTTAAAGATTTCGGGAACGAGATATCCATCTTTATTTAAAGCCTGATCCAGGTCGTCAATGGTTGTTCGACCTTTCCTTAGCTTACAAAATCCAGGAGGACAATTTTTGAAAACTGCCTCAAACTTTCCGCTTGGACAGACCATAAAATCAAATTCGTCGTCGTACTCAATCTGTAAAATCAACGAAAATTGATATTAGATAATAAACATATTGAATGTATCACGATGTTACTCAGTGTCGCACGTATCCAACATATATGTATAAATATTTCCTTAGATTTTATCCTTTGTTTACTCAGGATGGGAGATTCCTTTTAAATGAAGATTTCACTCAAGAGTTTTTGCTTAACCTTTACAAATTGTTTTCAATTTTTTAATCGATGAGATCGAAATAAAATGAGCAAAAAGTTTTTCAGTATCTGTACATTAGTATCTGCATCTGTCTGTCTGTTTAACTTAAGCCTGTCTGTTTGAAATTCTTCAAAATATTCAATTATCTGCAGACAATATTTCTTTATGTTTTCATTATTTTGTGCCTTGATGGCAGATTTTTTCTCAAATTCAAACTTTTTTAGATTCATTTTCATCACAAAACAATTTTATGTCACTTATATTAGACAAGAGGCCCATGGGCCACATCGCTCACCTGAGCACTGCGGCTAGGAAAAAGTAGAAATTGGTTAATTATTGAAAAGTTTAAATCCAAAAGTACTCCAATGACCAATCATGGCTTTGCTATTCTTAAGAAGATGATTTTTAAAGAATTTTCCTTTATATTTCTATGTAAAACTTTGGTCGGCCATTGTGGCCCCGCCCTACCCCCGGGGGTCATTATTTGAACAAACTTGAATCTTCACTACCTAGGATGCTTCCATATAAATATGATCAATTATGACTTTGCTATTCTTAGAAAAAGATTTTTAAAGAATTTTCATATATATTTCTATGTAAATCTTTGGTCGGCCACTGTGGCCCCGCCCTACCCCCGCGGGTCATGATTTGAACAAACTTGAATCTACACTACCTGAGGATGCTTTCATATTAATATGATCAATTATGGCTTTGCTATTCTTGAGAAGAAGATTTTTAAAGAATTTTCCTATATATTTCTATGTAAAACTTTGGTCGGTCATTATGGCCACGCCCTACCCCCGGGGGTCATGATTTGAACAAAGTCGAATCTACATTACTTGAGGATGCTTCCATATAAATATGATCAATTATGACTGAGCTATTCTTAAGAAGAAGATTTTTAAAGAATTTTCATATATATTTCTATGTAAAACTTAGTCGGCCATTGTGGCCCCGCTCTACCCCCGGGGGTCATGATTTGAACAAACTTGAATCTACACTACCTGAGGATGCTTTCATATGAATATGATCAATTATGACTTTGCTATTCTTGAAAAGAAGATTTTTAAAGAATTTTTCTTATATATTTCTATGTAAAACTTTGGTCGACCATTGTAACCCCGCCCTACCCCCGGGGGGTCATGATTTGAACAAACTTGAATCCACACTGCCTGAGGATGCTTTCATATTAATATGATCAATTATGGCTTTGCTATTCTTGAGAAGAAGATTTTTAAAGAATTTTCCTATATATTTCTATGTAAAACTTTGGCCGGCCATTGTGGCCACGCCCTACCCTCGGGGGTCATGATTTGAACAAATCTGAAACTACACTACCTGAGGATGTTTCCCCATAAGTTTCATCTTTCCTGGCTCAACGGTTCTTGAGAAGAAGATTTTTGAAATATGCCACCAAATTTTTATTAATTCCCAATTATCTCCCCTTGAATGAGGGCGTGGCCCTTCATTTGAACAAACTTGAATCCCCTTCACCCAAGGATGCTTTGTGGCAAGTTTGGTTGAAATTGGCCCAGCAGTTCTTGAGAAGAAGTCGAAAATGTGAAAAGTTTACAGACAGACAGACAGCTAGACAGACGGACGCCGGACAAAATGTGATCAGAAAAGCTCACTTGAGCCTTCGGCTCAGGTGAGCTAAAAAATTAGGAATGGATTTTTTTTTTCGAATACAGTACTACTTACAATAGTTTTGGCATAGTGAGAACCGAATACAGTACCACTTTCTGTAGTTTTGTCATAACGAGAACCGAAATCAGTACCACTTTCCGTAGTTTTGTTATAGTGAGAATCGGGTGCGCAATACCACTTAAATATCGGAGTTTTGCCATAATGAGAACCGAATACAATACCATTTACAGTGGTTTTGTAATAGGGAGAACAGAATCTTTAGTTCAATTTACTGTAGTTTTGATTTAGTGAAAACCGAATACAGCTACAATTTACCGTAGTTTTGTCATAATGAGAACCGAATACAGTAACACTAACCGTAGTTTTGTCATAATGAGAACCGAATACAGTACCATATACCGTAGTTTTGTCATAATGAAAACCGAAAACAAAAGCACTAACCGTAGTTTTGGCATAGTGGGAACCGAATACAGTACTATTTAGTATTTACCGTAGTTTTGTCATAGTGAGAACTGAATACAGTAATCTCTACCGTAGTTTTGTCATAGTGGGGACCGAATACAGAAACACTAACCCTAATTTTGTCATAGTGAGCACCGAATACAGTGACACCAACCATAGTTTTGTCATAGTGAGAACCGAATACGGTACCACTAACCGTAGTTTTGTCATAGTGAGAATTGAATACAGTAATATTAACCGTAGTTTTGTCATAGTGAGAACTGAATACAGAAACACTAACCCTAGTTTTGTCATAGTGGGGACCGAATACAGTAACACTAACCCTAGTTTTGTCATAGTGAGAAACAATTACAGTACCACTTACCGTAGTTTGTCATAGTGAGAATTGAATACAGTAATATTAACCGTAGTTTGTCATAGTGAGAATTGAATACAGTAATATTAACCGTAGTTTTGTCATAATGAGAATTGAATACAGTAATATTAACCGTAGTTTGTCATAGTGAGAATTGAATACAGTAACACTAGCCCTAGTTTTGTCATAGTGGGGACCGAATACAGTAACACTAACCCTAGTTTTGTCATAGTGGGGACCGAATACAGTACCACTTACCGTAGTTTGTCATAGTGAGAATTGAATACAGTAATATTAATCGTAGTTTTGTCATAGTGAGAATTGAATACAGTAACACTAACCCTAGTTTTGTCATAGTGGGGACCGAATACAGTACCACTTACCGTAGTTTGTCATAGTGAGAATTGAATACAGTAATATTAATCGTAGTTTTGTCATAGTGAGAATTGAATACAGTAACACTCACCCTAGTTTTGTCATAGTGGGGACCGAATACAGTAATACTTACCATAGTTTGTCATAGAGGGAATCGAATACAGTACTACCAACCGTAGTTTTGTCATAGTGGGAAATGAATACAGTAACACTCACCCTAGTTTTGTCATAGTGGGGACCGAATACAGTAACACTTACCCTAGTTTGTCATAGTGAGAACTGAATACAGTACTATTTACCGTAGTTTTGCCATAGTGAGAACCGAATACAGTAATACCTACCGTAGTTTGTCATAATGGGAACCGCATACAGTACTATTTACCGTAGTTTGGTCATAGTTAGAACCGAATACAGTTCCATTTACCGTAGTTTTGTCATAGTGAGAACTGAATATAGTAACACTAACCCTAGTTTTGTCATAGTGAGAACTGAGTACAGTAACACTCACCGTAGTTTTGTTATAGTTAGAACAGAATGCCATACCACTCACCGATGTTTTGTCAAAGTGAGAACCAGAATTGAGCATCTTCAAGGGAATGTTTGAAATCCCGTCCATTGCTTTATTTAAACTTTCAATGAATTCGTTGACCCCTTTTCTTGTCGACGCGCTATCTTTTTTTCGAATTTTAATTTCTCCTTCGAGCATTGCTATGTACTTTGTTACGTTTGTCACATGAAATGGTAGACTCGAATCTGTAAATTATACACTGAAGTTGGTTAGCTTAAACCTTTATGTGAAAAGGAAAGAAGACACTATATCATAATATTAAAAATATTTTTGTTTAAAAAATGGTTAATATTTTTAAATTTAAAAAAATTGATAAAACACTATTGGACTCACTTGACGGTGACGTAATTGATATGTGGTTTTCTAAAAGTCTTGATTTTGTAGAGCCTCCATCTGCGTCGCCACAATGGGAACAACAGGCATTATGCATACGTTTCACTGTTGGAAATTTTCTGTCATCTTCAACTGTAGAACGAGGGCTTGGTTTCCCATCACTTTTTTCTGTGGATTCATCTTTCCCTCCAGTCGACGATGTTCTTCGGCGAAGTTTATCATCATTTTCTTCTACCGACGATGTTCTTCGGCGATATTTATTATAATTTTCTTCTATCGACGATGGTCTTCGGCGAAGTTTATCATCATTTTCTTCTATAGATGATCTTCGTTGGCGATATTTATCATCATTTTCCTCTATCGATGATGGTCTTGGTCGATGTTTATTATCATTGTCTTCTATCGTTGTTGTAATTCGGCGAGGTTCTTTATGGTCATGCCTATCTCCCTGCTTGTGCTTTCTTGACATATGTACGCTTAGTCCGCGTTCATTTTTAAATTCCCTCTGACAAATTCCGCACGTTGCAGGAGTTGCTTTCTCAGTCTAAACGAGAACATTAAAATAAGTATAAATTTGCACACCATTTTTATGTAACTTCTAACTTATTTTGCCCTTAATGAAGAAATTAACCTCAATACCCAAGCAGAATCGAAGTACATGTAGATGTACTCTTTAAACGTTTTTGAACTCTCGAGCTCGTCAACACAGCGAATTTAATTTAATTTACATTGTTCTTATATTACAAAGTCAAATTTACCCCACATAAAAACATACAAGACATTTTAGTCAAATGCAAATGAAATAAATGATAAATAAATGTAAATATGTTATCTCTTAAAGTGATTACAGTATATGAAATAATCTTTTTAATATTTTTTTTTAATTTATAAGACAATACTTTTAACGTTTTAAAAAAGATAAGTTTAGGCTAAGTACGCTAAGCAGATCCGTACATTTTCAACCCTTGGAAATACTAGTGTTATTGCAGACTTAAAACTTAATAGGCTGATTCATTGCATCATGAAGTTTGTTAATTGTTTTGATGCTCTCAAAAA